ATAACCCCGCAAAATCATCATATATACCGATGAGATTAATTTATTAAGCAGGTACGTAATTAGTCGGTTAAGCAATGAGTTAAAGAGGTAATTTTTTTAAAGCCTGACAATTCATTAAAATGCAATTTACAAACACAGCACTGCATATAGTGCGAGCGCTTCTATCTTGAGGATTAATCGCAAGGGCGATCCGCTGCAGGGCTGGGGGGGAGGCGAGACGCGCCCCTCAAGGAAGACGTGGACCAGCACCACCGGGGCAGCGCCAGCCGCGTCCCCAGTCCCGCTCCGCACAGCGACCCGACCCGCTCCACCCCCCGCAGCATCCGCACCCAGCGGGCCCCGCTCACTACCTTCCAGGCCTGGCTCTGCCGCAGATCCTGGAAGTCCTGCCCGTAAATCGACTCCAGCACCTGGAGCTCGTTCTCCTGCCGCAGCTGGTAGCTCTCCGGCGGCTCCCCGGCAGTCTCCGCCGGCATCTGCTGCGCGCCGCTGGCCCGGGCCATGTCAGCTGCCCCGGCGGGGGCGGGCGGCGGCCATCGCGGACAGCACCCGCGCTGCCCCCCTGGAAGTGGTGCCGGGGCCGCGCTCCGGCACCGCCCCCGCGGCGGCGGGAGGAGGAGGAGCCGGGGCGGGGGGGCGACTCTGGGGGCCGGTGGTTCGCCCACCAGGAATATATCGAGTTGGAAGGGACCCATAAGGATTACCGAGACCAATTCCCTGCTCCTCACAGGACTACCTGAAACTAAACCCTGACTAAGAGCACTGCCTAAACTCTGGGAGGCTTGGTGCCATGACCACTTCCCTAGGGAGCCTGTTCCAGTGACCAACCACTCTCTGGGTGAAGAATCTTTTCCTAATGCCCAGCCTGACCTCCACCAGGATAAGCGTCCGGTTATACCTATAATACAGAGATATGCAGCAAATACGACTAGTTACTGTGCAGATTTTTTTTAATAGACCTTGAGAAAGATTTGCAAAAGGGAAAGGTAACCGCAAAATTCAGAATGGATTTAATGTAGAGCTGAGGCAGGATACAAGTTCCTGTGAAAACTATGAAAATATTTCCATAGTAATGAATACTATGTGAATAATAGCATGTGGAGGGCAAGCAGCCTTAGTCTTTTGCTAGTTAAACCGCAAATATAAAGTGAGGCCAGACCCAGTGAACACCCCTCAGCCCCTGGTTCTCCTTGGTGGAACTTGCCAGAGAGAGGAAGCTGGGGGTTCTCAGGAGAGCAGTGGTAACCAAAGAAGAAAATGTGCTTTTCTTTGGTCACTTCTTGTAGTAACTACTGAACAGGACTGCCCCAAGATGTAGCCTCCAGTAAGTTTTGGGATCTTAATAAAGAAACCCCAAATAAATTCATACATACAAGCTTATTGACTAGGTGAGTAATCCCCAGGCAAAGAAAAATGTTACAGTAGTCTACAGCTTGCTACCATGCAACCAGATATATAAATGGAGTTTTGGTGACTTTCACTTTACTCCCTGACCTTTCAGTACAGACTTTTTGTTACAGACCGCTTCAGGAGGGACTTATGCTAACGAACAGTTTCTATAGCCCTCAATTTTCCTTCTGAAATTAAAAGCTTGTTCCATGTGTATGTTTATCTTTCAGTCACAGTTAAATAATGTTCATTAGTATCTAACCAAGGTATTAAATTGTATCACTGTTGTTATGCTGTTCTCTATTCCTTACCACTCCTGGAACGTGTCTTTAGTGGCAAGGTCTTTCTGTCTCATGTTTTTTGTGGGAAATGCATGACCAAAGCTGGGTAGTGTTTATCTAATAGCAAGAGAGATCTCCTTTTGCTCAGTCAAATGACCTGGGGCACTGTAACTGACCCCTGGAGTTTCCTCTGGTGCAGTTGAGTATGCTTATCTATCAATTTGTATAAATAGTTTCCCTGTGTTAAAGACAAGAAATAAAAGTTTCTAGGGCACAGATTCATCTTCTCTCCCACACAGAGACACAGCAAGAATGGCCAATTAGAAGATGTGATGCAGTAAGTAATTAAGAAACGCAAGTAAAATTTCCTTTAACAGAAATTATGGGTTTATACTTCCTAAGCACGAGGTGTGGGGCACACAGCCCAGCACCTGGGAAACTTCTCCTGTGTTACACTGTGTAGCAATGGGTGGGTCGGGCAACGTTATGCGTTGTTAAAGCTGCCCAATTGTTCCCATTCTTTGTGACTTGGCAACATTTTAATGGTTTGGGATGAAATTTTCTAGACCAGAAAAAATCTACCTCAGGCTATTTTTTTTCTCTTAATTTCTTCTATAATGATTCATTGTTTCCAAGAAGAAAGGCAGATAATCATGACATAATCATGAAAACATTCTGAGAATTTATTTTAAAAAGTCTTGTACCCCAGCAGAAGTGTGAAAATTTGATGAATGAAAACCTGCATAAACTGAATTGAATTACATTACTGAGGGAAGTACTCATATGCTCCCCATAGATTTACTGGAATGCAATGAACATCCACCTGCCCTAAAGATGTGCAAGACTGCATCTGGACAGAAGCTTCCCTTCTAAAATTGAAGACAAAATTATTAAACCTATCATGTGTAACAACATTAAAATTTAATTCTAGCTATTAAAATTTAATGAAGTGAGGTGTGAGAATGTGCTTTCACTTCCCCATGGGCATAGTGAGGGGAGGTCAGTCTTCCTAGGTGAAGTGCAGGAGAGAGGGGAAGGGTCCTGAGTGTTAAGAGCAAGAAGTGTGGCACAAAATAAACCCTCTTGCATTCTGTCTTGTCCCCAGAGATCAGAGGGGCTGGGTGCAGCTGGGCTTATTCTGACTATAACCAATTTGTCATTATATGTCTGGCCGTGTTCAACAGGAACTTCCACAACCACAAATTCATGAATAGTGGAGTTTATTGAAGCAACAAAAATACACAGTAGGAATTGCCACTGATAAATGCAGTAGCCGTAACAGATCTCTAATAATATTGTGTTAATCTAGGTAATAATAATATTCGTGCTTATCAAGGCAGCATCCCCAGTTGAGAGGAGGGAGAGCAGAATAACCTGTTGGCTCTCTCCAGGGTCTTTCTCCTAACAGGTGAAATGTCTGCCCTCCTCCAATCTATGCTATGGTCCTGCTATGTTACATATAGCATGATCTAAGTGGAGAGTTGTGTAATACAGTCATTCATGTGGTAGCATGTACTTCATTAAACTTATTAGCATATACAGCATTTTAATATTTAAATTACCTTTAATCTAGGCAAACATTTCTTTTCTGGCCATGGCGTCCTTCAAAGTTCTGGTCATACAACTTACTTCTGTTCCATCTGCCAGTCAAACTGGGACCATCCTATCTCCACAGAACCTTTTCCTTTAGCCAAGTCATCCTTTCTTAATGTCAACTATGCAGATCTATGCAACGACAACACAGAGGGTACACAGTGTAGGCTGTAGATAGCAAGCATTAGCCGTCTTAGTCATCATCCCGTCCTGAGGGAGGAGCTGGAGAAAGGGATTGCTTTATATGAGGAACAGTGCCTTGAAGGTGGCAGGGAGGTGAAGGGATGGAGGTCAGGCTCTGGTTACAGAGAATGTGTCCAAAAGGAGGAAGAAGCCCATTTGAGTGTCTAATGAAAGACAAGATGAGGGGAAAGCATGGTGGAAGCTGCTGATTATTGCCTGGGGAGAGCAAGGAAAAAATGGGACTCATTGGACAAGGTGAATGAGTTGAGGTGAGGGAAAAGGGTGAGAGGGTGATTGAGCCTGGGGCCACACTGGGAGTGAGTAGGAGACATTAATTACTGGAAAAAAGGCTGGAGCAATGAGCTGGGAGACTCATGCTCCCAGAGGAATGAGTGGAGCCTGCAAAGGGCAGGGGCCAAATACACAGAGGTGCAAGCAGAGGTTTGGCCAACAGCCTTCAGGTTCTATGGTGGAATGGGGGGTGGCAGTCCCCTATCCTTGTGGTCAGCAAACATCTTTGAACCCACAGCACAGCACCCAGCTCTGTCCTGTGTCACCCAAGTTCACATCACAGGTGACAGGATGTGTGCCACTGAAATACATCTCGTGGGTGTCGGGTCCCTGAGGAAGCCTTGCTGTACAGGGACCATGCTCATGGGTAGCTCCTCTTCTTGGAGCATTTCCAGATTGGCTGTCCAGTGGCTGAAAAAACTTTATTGTCTTGATTTTTAACTAGACACCCTCCTTAAGTCTTCAAATTAAAGGCAAATGTGCACCTGCTATATGGATGCACAACTTTTGCACAGTCAAAGCCCAAACTTATTACATGTACTGAGGAGCTTTACTGGCAAATTATATATTAAAAAATATCTATTTTTAACAAACAACACTAGAATCCAGCACCGTCTTTTGAAACCCTGTCCTCAGAATTACGGACCTGTTTTAAAATACCGATTTAGAAACGCTCCCAGCCACCGAGCGAAATGGCGGCTCCGCCGTGCGCGGCGGCCACGTGATGGCGGCGCGCCCGCCCCTCTGGAGCGCGGCGGCTCCTGCCCCGCCAGTCCCGCCCGCCCCTCCGGCCGCCGCCTCCCGCGGGATCGCGGCGGGGCTTGGCGGCAGCCAGCACTGTGGGCTTGCGGGGCCGCGGGCAGCGGGGGCGCAGCGGCTCGGCGCCCGGGCCGGGATGTTGGCGCACGAACGAGCGAGGTGTCGCCGCCAGCCGCGCTCAGTGCGGGGCGCGCTCAGAGCGGGGCGCTCAGGCATCGTACGGAGCCCTCTCGGTTCACTGGAGGCTCGAGCGCCCCTCGCCTTGGGATTCAAAACCAAATTAATTTTCCCCGAAAAATAGCTGGAGCGCAGTGGAACCCAGTGAGCTGTCACTGACCTCTCTGGACGCTGTGTAAGGGTCCTTGCGGTGTCCAGCGCCGCGCAGAGCCAGGAAGGAGGCGGAGGGGCGACGGGGGGGGAGGCGAGCCGTGCCTCACCGCGGGAGGAGCGAGCTGGAGCAGATGGGCCAGGGGGAAAACCATGTCTTTCCTCCCTCAAGGCTGTGAGGAAAGGCAGCGCCAACACTGAGAGTGGAGTGGGGGGAAAGAGCTTGTGGTCCCTCAACTTTTCCAGACCAGTTTTGGTGTGCAGTGAGCCCTAGTGCGCGGGGGGAGCGCCGCGACCCTCGGCGGAGTTGGGAGGATGAGCCGCGGTGCGGGCTGTAATTCTGTGCACTGTGATTCCCTCATTCTCGGTTATTGCGGTAAAGCATGCTGAGGAGACCTGTGGCGGTGTGAAGCAAGAAATATGGGAGAGCTGACTGCAAGGAGAAGCCTGGCTTGTTTTCTGTTTTCCTTCACTGGCTATCATGATTTACGAGGTGGAAAAGCGAGCAGCCGGCCCTGCTTCCCGGGACACCGGAATGTGGTGAAGATGCCTCCGAGAGTAGGGGCTGTATCCTTAGAAGCGCCTTTTTGCCTGTGGGCACCATTTACTCGCTAAAGGGAAGGGCTTAACAACCTGTGGTTATTAGGTGGTAGCAGAGAGGGCAGGAACTCCGCCATGGGGTACGACAAAAGCTGGATGTTGAGGAATGAAAGCGACCATGCCCCGTACCAGGCTGTCACCAGAGCTCTGGAGATGAGGAACGCCTCGGCCGGGCAGATGGTGTGGCAGGGCGGGAACGTCAGCGAGGCCGGGGCCGTGGAGAGCGAGGAGCACGGCGAGGAGCGGGGCTACCGGCACTTCACCACCACCGTGCAGATTGTCATCTTCGTGGGCTCCTTGCTGGGTGAGGCAGAGTTGCTGGAGGTTTTTTGATGTTTTTTTTTTTTCATCCTTACGGTCGGAGACTGCAGACCAAATGATAACTACATCATTTGATGCCTTAGTCACTCTTCGTTTTGCTTTTCAGGTCCTCAGGTGTATGATTTCAAGTTCCTTGTGGGTTTTGATGAATAAAGGCTATAACTGAAATGCTATTTATCACAGATGAGAACTTATACATTATATGTATGTATTAGTAAACTTTTCTATCAGAATTTAAATGGACAAAAATTAAATGGGTTGATTACACCTTTATTTTCAGCTCCACTGGAATCTGTTTAATATAAAAAAGGATGTGGGGTGTTTTAAACAAGTTTTGCTAAATTTCAGTTTCATACTGCGGTAATTTGGTATTTGTGGCCTGCAGGTTTTAAATTAATCCTTTGAAAGTACTTTATTCTACAAATATGTGTAACCATATGCAATCTTGCCCAGTTATTATCCTTACAGTAGGAATCATAGACCTTAGATATGTGGTAGTAAACTGTTGTCATATAACTTTACAAATGCATGTACGTTTCCTTTAGGGTGCCTGTAGTAGGTTGTTTTGTTGGGAATACAGATGTATGCATTTCTTAGAAAAAAAAAAAGGTGAAATAAGCCTTATGATCAATCAAGTTAGCACTGTTTGGGAGTTCAGTAGGCTGGATTTCAGTAAAATGCCACTACTATCTCATTTATTCGAAGCTAGTTACTGGAAATGATAAGGCTTTTCACACAGGGCTTGACTAACAGAGTGTCCAGCTCTCCTAGGTAAGTCCAGGTGGACTTTGCTGATGGTCATTTGCTCTTATTGTCAAGGATGTGGTTTGGGTTTTCCTGGTCTTGAGTAATGCTAAAATCCATTTCTGTGTTCAGGGTAGTAAGTTCTAATATCTGTTTCATTTTGGTAATACTTAGTAGCACTTAAATAATTTCTAAGAAAGTGGTAAGCATAGTCTTGGAACAGTGTTGAGCCTCAGTCAGTGATATACTTACTAGTTATTGCTGTAGGTCACTGAGTCTTTTGGCATCAATTACTCCTGTCTCCCCATGGTTCTTGCTTTTTTTCTTTTTAGCACACAGATAGTGTGGGGAAGGGACTCTCTTTTTCCGTATGTTGCACAGTACCTGGCACAAAATGATAGCCAGCAAATATTGCCCTAAAATAACAAGAGTGGGTGAGAGAAGTCAGAAATTTAGTTATTTATTTTTTTTTTGTTTTGAGCCTGAAAGAGAGCCATGAGCATGGATCCTACAGTTTTATTTGAAGAAGGAAACAGACACACTCAGGTAATCACTGCTTCAGAAACTAGGAGTTTTGAAGAACCGACCAACCAAAAAATAACATAGCTACAAATTCTGCAAGGCTAATGTAAGTTGTGGTTTGGTACTCCTGCAATTTGTTTTCAAGAGGTGGACTGTGAAAAAATTTGAACATGTCACAAGGGGTTTATATGCAGATTGGATGGCTGGGAGGCTGATGAAGCTTCCACATCAGTAACTTCTCCAGAACTGTCAAAGAGCTAAACAGGAGAGGAAATAATGTGCTTCTTTTTAAATGATGAAAATGCACTAGGTCCAATGACAGATGTTAGTAGGGGGCTTCATGAATTTACAGTGATGGAAACCAATTTTAACTGTTTTTTTGAAACTGCCTTCTTTTCCAATCTCCCTGCTGCCCTGAAATACTAATTTAAGAACATTTATGATACACACTATTGTAACAACTGAAAACTTGTGAATCTTTAAAGTGTCTTCCCATATCATCCCTATGAATGTAGTGCTATTTTCTCTTTACTGAATGGAAACAAAGCCACCAAAAAGCTGAAGCCCTGATCTCCAGAAGGTCTAAGGACTTCAGTGCCTGCATGCTCAACTCTCATATGTGCCTGAAGTTTCACGTGTGCATGTGCTGGACAGTATATCTGCATCAGCAGGGGATAACAACTTGATACTTACCTCACTCTTAGGCTTGCACAAACACTGTTAACTAAGTTATCATTTATTTTCTGACATGGTCCTTAGAGTGTGAGTGTCATCCAGGTCTTTTCTCCATCAGGTGAGCTGCTCACTTGAGCTGCAGAATAGCAGTTCTTTGGTCTGGTGAGTCTCAGGTTCCTCTTTACAGAGAGATAACCCTTAAGACTATCCTTCCTCCTAAAGCATGAGATGGGGGTCATGGCCCTCAGAGGTAGGATGTGTGGGTTTGAATCCTCTGTGGTTTGGGTGGATGTACAGCTTGTGCATTTCACAACATCAGTGTGTGCCCAAGCCACTTAGCTGTTGGATAAAATAGCACTACCCTTTTAAAGGAAGAAATTATTTCTATTTCCAGCTTGAAAGGGAACAAATGTATATGACTCAGTCTTGATAATGATTACTGGGGTCTGACACAAGCAGTAGTCTACAGCACGGAGAGGCCCAGGTCCTAAAAGAGGGAAGAATCACAGTTGGTGTTGTGAATTTAATTTAGGTTCCTGCTGTGCAGAAGAATATGATATCAGTTTTGAGAGAGATGTACATTATAGTTTTTTTTATTCCCATTTAAGACCCCTGTTTGAGACCTGTGGGAAGACTTGTAGCAATAGCAGAAGTTCTTGTGTTAGTTTTCACTGTGTTGTGAAAAAACAGTGCTATGGTGAATGTTTTTCATACTTACTGAGGGCAAAGAAGAGTCAAATTGTTCTTCTTTATGGTTACTTTTAAATACATTGAAAGCTCATCCTCAGTTTATTTATCTGTTTTAGGTAATAATATCAGTGATACTAGATTCTGGAATTTTTGTTTGTCACAAGCTTGCCAAACCTTGAACCTGGATGTGATCTTAACATGTACATCAGAGGATCTAACTGGTTGAACAAACCAGAATATTAAGATGAGGCTTACTAAATGTCAGATTTTTTTCCTATTTTTTTTCCTAATTTTTAGAAAGTTTTCATTGTTAAAAAATTCTGATTTTGTGAAGAATCAGATCGTTCCATGCTTGGAATGGACAGAACATAATTATTTAGTCATGAAATCTCTAAATATTTAGGGCACTTAGAGATAAGATTTCTTCTGGTAACTTGGGTATGAGTTACTGAGTTAAAGAAGCTATAATATACTTAAAAGGTACAGTTTTAAGTAGCTGTTCCTGTGGCTTTGAGTCTGTTCACACAAACTTTCTGTTGTTGCTCTTTCACTGCTTGTGTGGAATTTCTCACCTAGCAGAGTACCTATGATGTTAATATTCAAGAACCAAGGAGTAAAATGAGTAAATCTGTGTCTCTGTACTTTCAACCCAACTGGTGCTGCCAGTTATGCCCTCACTTGACTGTAACCTACCACAAGGTTTCTGCACAAGACAGGAAGCATTGGAAGGAGAAATGTGGTCAATTTAGTTATCCTGGTCAGCAGCTCAGTTTGCCTCTATGAAGGGAAGATTTGCAGTATATTTAAGACTTGTAAGCTATTTCTTTCTGTGATGCTGTATCTGAGTGCATGAACTGGGGAATTCATCTGGTAGGCTTAAATGCTTTGTATGTGTTGATAAACTTAGCAAATGCAGAAGCTAAGGTACCAAGGGTGTGAGAGACTAGAAGCCTTTGTTAATGCTGTCTTCCTGTGCAGCTCCACAGCTAGTAATGGCAGTTCTCGTAGTAAGGGCCTTTCCTAGCCTGCAAGCTAACAGCTCTAGGCAGGACTAGAATAAAACACTGAAAACACATGCCACTGGTGTTTCTCGTTCCACTGCTTGAACTATGCTTGGGTCAGGGAGTGTGGAACATGTTACAGAAAAGAAGGCAAGCATGGTGAACGTCAACAAAAGCACTATGGAAAGAACCATGCCTCTCAGTACCACTTTCCTTTTCTGATCCACGTGTACTTGGAACTCCCTGAAATCAAGAGAGTGGGTGCCTCAGGAACTCTGGAAGGACAAGTGCACGTGTAGAGAGATATGTTTCTGATGTGTGGTCAGGGGAGTTGCACTCAGTATTCTGTTTAAGCCATAGCTTAAGGTACTGTACGACTAAATTTGTTGCTGCTAAGAGAAGTTACTATAGGAGAACAGAAGCCAAAATAGTTATGCTGCTTCTGACAATTGTCTTATAGATGACTGTTTTTTGAACCTCTCAACCACCTTACCTTAAATATGGGGGGAAGTGAAAGGCATCAGTGGGAAGAATTACTGATTTTATAGGCCACTGGAATGATACAGGTGGGAGCACTGTGACATGAGAAGAAACACACTGTATGTACTGATTCCTTCAGTTCGCTTAATCCCATGTGGTAAAAGGTGTCAAGAGATTCAAGCTTTTCATGCCCTAACTCGTTTTGAAAGGATGTAGAAATCATCAGCGGAAGAACAAGAAAGGTAAAGATTTTCTTTGAGATTGATTTTTTTACTTCCACTAATCCTGCACAGATCTCTCCACTCTGCAGTTCCCTGTATTCTGCCTGACTCAGGTTAGGTAATTTTTTATTGCCTTGTGAGAACTGTAGCAACTGTTTTGTTTTATCTAACCTGTGTTTCAGGCCACTTCCCTCCACCTGCTACCAGATGAATGTGGCTAAGATGACGAAATCAGGATTACTTATGGAAGTGAATTATGATTTTCAGTCACAGTAATACTGGCTAGGTTTCTTAGCTGATGAATTCAAATGGCTGTTATCGAAGGGATGAAGTTGATAAAAGGAAAGATAAAATAAAATTTAGGTTTCAGACTACTGCCTTGTCAAAAACTAAAGTTTTGATGATGGAGACCATATTCTCCATCCTCATGATTTTTTTTTTTTTGACGTTATCCTGTTTGTGTGCCTCTGGATTCTTGTTTCAGAGTTTTTCTTCTGAGTCTGTCCGCTTCACAGTGTGGTTCTGCCACCTATTGCCATATTAACAGAGTGCCACCAGTGATGCAAATTCATAATAAAAGCACAGTTTTTCATGCAGCTGCTGAAGTTACTTCTCTTTAAACAGGAGTAAAGTTCTGCTTGGGATTTTTT